TTGGGCTGTAAAATCCTCAAACATTGGGAGTAAACTCACTTTTACATGTTAGAATGCCTTGTAACTTAACCAATAGTCGTGTGGTAAATTCTAGAACCATCTAAAAATAGTTTGGAGACCTTAAACATAACAAAACTTTACATATGAGAGTTTACAGCCATAGAACATGCTCCTGGGCTGTAAACTCCTAAATGTGTGTTAAATGGTGCCCTAAAGTCATACCAAGCCTTGGAAAATTAACTAGAATCACATGTGATTGTTCCTTGTGCCTCAAAATAATTATTTTTGACCATAGGAGAGTTTACGTCCGTAAACTCTAAGTTTACAGCCATGAACTCCCTTTTAAATGGTATAAGTCCCATTAAATCATTCCAAGGCATGTTAGAAGTTCATTCCAACAATCTCCATGTCCAAACAAGACATTAAACACTCAAAATCACCCAAACATGAGTTCACGGCCGTGAACTCATGTGTGTATGGGTTTCATGGCAGTAAACTCCCTAAAGTGTTTACTCTTCGGGAGTAAACTCAAATCCCAAGTCCCTCGTGCCCTTACACGTCCGTAGATGTCACACGGGTCACTCCAAACACTCGTTTTGAGGTGTTTAAATTCATTGGAGTGTATTATCCTATCTAATTAGTGGTTTAAAGTCTAAATAGATACCTTTGGGTACCATTTCATATTACATAGGAACCTCGCATGTTAACAAGCCTCGAACCAACGTTTAGTGTCCGAAACAGTTGCGCCTTCTCGTCGGGTGAGTTCATACCCCTACCCATTTTCACCGTTTTCACTGTTTTCAGGGGGAACACAAGCAAAGTACAAGGGATTACTTGTACTCAAAACATGTTTTCATGTGTGCGTTTCACATTTTATATGCTTTTAAAACTGATTACTACAACTGATAACCATTTGAACATGCAGATCACGTAAACATATATTTGTGAAATGGATTTTAACCTGTTATGTTATATATATATATATATATATATATATATATATATATATATATTTCACAAATGGTTTTCCACATTTTATCAGTTAAAAGCATGACATTAGAACATTTGAACATAAAACCTGTATTGTTTTGTCCTCGGTAACACTCCACAGATATACGTGAGTGGAGGACTATCATATTATTACTAGTAAATTTGTTAATCCTGTATAATTGGAGACACGTCCTCGGCGAACACTCCACAAAGATACGCGAGTGGAGGACTGCACCCGTAACCAGAATCTTTGGGATTTAGAGAGCATGACTTGGTGTATAGATCTATACGGGGTTGACTACTCCACACCTGGCTGCTAATTATAGTCAAACCAAAATAGTTCAAGGGTGACGAAAGTCATAAGGTGATGTGGACTACTTATTGCCATATCTAGTCTATTGTATGGTTATGGAACTTGCAATTAGGATAACAGAGATTTACTCAATAGTAATAATGAATAATGTAATACATCTTTTACATTGATAACCAACATTCAGGAAAGTATGGGACTTTCCTGGTGAAACATTGAACATAACCACATTTTACAGATACATCTTTTACAGTGATAACCAACATTCAGGAAAGTATAGGACTTTCCTGGGGAAACATTTACATAACCAGAAAAGGGTAAAAGAGCAGATAACTTTACATCTTTCACAATTGGTAAAATACAATCAGGAAAGTATGGGACTTTCCTGGGAATTCATTGGTACCTACCCAGAACCAGTATACCAAATCAGATAACCTAAGTGTACATTTACACAAGAGAAAAACATGTTTTCAATGTACAACTTTACTTTACATGATGAAAAACGATAACAAACCTTTTTAAGAAAATATGGGATTTTCTTGGTGTGCGTAACATTTCACAAACAGAAAGGAAGCTTGAACATTTCACAAACAAAAACCGCTTATGAACTCACCAGCGTTGTGCTGATTTTTAAACCGCTTGTGTTCTCAGGTCAGCGTTAGAACAGGTACCCGAAGATCCTTTTGTCCGAAGACAGAGTACTCAGAAGACCCGTTTCATTTTGTTCATATATATACTATGTATCACAACTGTACAACTTTACTTTTGAAACAACTGTAAAACTTTTCTTTATGTAATGTAATGGTTATTTTACTTTACTTACTCTGTACATTGGATTTGATACTCAACGTGGAGTCAACCCCGGAAATGTTTCCGCCTTCGGTTTTCGTGGTGTGACATTAGGCCGTAAACACCCTCTAAATATGCAAACCAAGCCCACAACACTTCCAAAACTCATTTAAGCTTAAGATATGATCAAGGGACTTGCAATTTCGGACTTGGAACATTTAAACGCCAACATTTGAGGGGTAAAATAGAGTTTACGGCCCAAGCATATGCTTAGACCGTAAAATCCCCTAAACCATGTCAAATGAAAGTTTAAGTCCCCTAAAGAGCCTTATACCCTTACTAGAACATGTTAGGATTGAGCCAAGAGCCTTAGAATCAAAGAATGGAGGTGTACAAGAGTTTGCTACCATAAACCATGGGGTTTACGGCCGTAAACCCCCAAGGAGTGGTCTTTGGACCGTAAACTCCAAGGGAGTATACTCTTGGACCCTTAAATACCCCTATACCCTTGTAGAATACCTTAGAACCACTTCTAGAACCACCAAAGGCTTGAAACCACTCACTTACACATCTCCCATGAGTTTACGGCTGTAAACTCATGGGGGATGAGGTCCCCTAGCGTAAACTCACTTAAGGTGAGTTTTAGAAGAGTAAACTCCATGGTGAGGTCATATACTCTATCCTTGCAACCCTTTAGCCTTCTAGCACTCAACCATGAGACCTATAATCACATTTGGATGCCTATATCTGTTCAATTAGGGTTTAAATCACTAATTATTTGTAAACATATGTCTTCATATTTTACTAGGGTCATAAAGGGTGTACAAGTCTCTACTTGACACCAAATGTTCACCCGACACTTCCACCCGATCCACTCATTGCAGGTGAGTTCATACCCCTTAATGAACCTTTCTAAATGTATTTACATGTTTTAGGGGGGGGGGATACAAGTACAATACTACATATTTTAATCATCAAATCAATTGTGATTTACAATATTTCATCAAAAAGAGCTTTCTCTACACTTTTAGATACTTATCCATAAAATTGTTTTAACTAATTATCAAATGCGTTTTTAAGGTTAAATTGTTGTTAAACTACTTTCAAAACTATGTTTATACTACTTTCCTTTATAAAAATATATATCTACACTAATATATTTATATAAGTAAGACTTGAAGGTCTTAGGACCGATAGCTCGCCGTATTTCCTATTCTTGTTTGATGTGGTCTTAGGGTAGTTGTTGTCCGTCCGACTGTCGTTGAATTCTTAGTTATATATCATATATATTTGTGTTAGATATGAAAGTTTTCATTTTATTCATTAACTTTGTTGATCAGAGGCAGGAATTCACATTACTCTAGTTAACTATAATAGGTATAGTTAAGGCTACTGCTCGTTACCTCTACTACTACTATACTCACTATATCTGTTAATACTACAAGCTAATGAGAGTACAAGAGAACAGTCTACTTACTATAGTAAAAGTGTACCATACTAAAGCATAAGAGAATTCACTAATACAAAGTATATCACACTATCTCTCTATAAGGTACTCTACTGCACTTACACCATGTGACCAGGGCTTCCGAAAAGGAAAGCAACACTATATGTATAGATCTATATGGAACTGACATTATTACATCCCGACTGTTAACTACAGTCGGAGCCGACTAGGCCAGGGGTGGCACTACATTACTTCACTACGCATGACTGGGAAGGTCATCGGGTACTCTACTACTTTATAGTTGGTCACATGAGCGGTTACACTTATATCCAAATAAATACACTCACTACTAGAAAAACATCCTTTTACGACGCTCATTGCGCGTCGTAAAGGCTCAGACGACGCGCAAATGCGCGTCAAGGAAGGCCATGTCATAAAGAGAGACGACGCGCATTTATGACGCTCATTTACAACGTGCAATTACGATGCGCGTTTACGACACACAATGCGTATCAAGGAAGGCCCTGTCATAAACGAAGACGACACGCATTCGCATGTCGTAATCTTACGACGCGCGTGTTAATGACACGCAATGCGCATCAAGAAAGCCCCTGTCAAGAAAGGCCATGTCATAAATAAAGATGACACACATTTTTGCGTATCGTAATTTTAAATGTTTAAAAAAAACTATTATTTATAGATTTACTAATTTTCAGATTAAACTTGTATTTAATGTCTCATAATAGAAAATAAAATATCATATACAAAAATACAATCCATTGCATAAAATTTAATGCTATACAAATAATCGTTCCATGGCAATATAAAACAAATCAATAGTTGTAACAAAAATTTACAAACTAATTAGATACAAGAAATATAAATAAATAAGCAAAAATGTGTGTCATTTAAATGTTAAACAAAAATTATACATTGCTAACATAGGTTATACATTCCTATAAAACTAACAACCCTCGGTGACCTTGATCTAGATTGAGGTCAACTTGAATCGATGGCGACGATTGGATTTTAGATACACGACATATATGATTACTGACCTAAGACCTTGTGCAACCACAACACGTTTTAGTGTCTCAAGGGATAGTATACTTCCTCCTTGCCATCCAATAGCTTTCATTAACAATGGAACCAATGCTTAGTATTATTTCTCCTGCATGTTGTTGACATTTCTTGAAAAATATTAGAAAAGAAATTTATGATCTTATGATCTTAATATACCTTCACAGCATCAGATGCATCTTGTAAGGACCTAAATATATAAGGGAAGAACAAATTATTTAACCTCTGTGATAGGGGTGTCAACAACCCTGTCAGGTCCATACTTATGTAACAATCTTTTTGTAATCTACCTAAGCATAATAAAACCCAATATTTAAGACCAAAACACACACACACTTGATAGATCAAGTGGAATGCTTTTAAAATTCTAACCTTCTATGCACCCTAGTATTCTCCAACCTGCACATCACAAAATTAAAGATGAGGCTTATAGCAAAAGACTCTCTAGATATATAATGATAAACATAGTACTAGCTAGTTACCTCTTCACCCATGATAAAGATACTAGAACCAGCAGCCATTTCCTCAACAAGAGCAGAGTTCAAAGCATCTTTTACTGTCATCTGCAAAAACATGAAGTTAAAGCTATATATGCCAATTTCTATAAAACCTTATTTTAGCACTATGCAAAGGTCTACTAGTGTTTAAATCCCCTTTTGGTTCAATATGATTGATATGTTAAATCATAAGAATCCATATTACATCTTTGGTTGTAGACGAGAAATGTCTCATGGCTGATGCGATAGGGCTTAATCTATTTAGGGCTAAAACTGTAAAATAAAAATAAATAAATAAATAAATAAATAAAAATCGAACCTGGTAAAAGGTTATGAACTTGGCTTCGATTTGAGGCTAAGTGGTCTAATGACGCTTACAAGAAATGATGTCTTAACACAATATCCAAAGGCCTTTCTCATGACTGCAGAAACTGTAGTCTTAAAAACTATAACAAGAATAACAGATGCTAGTAATATATCCATGTGTGTCCACAAGAACTGTACATGTATAAGCATCCCAATACTTGATAGAAATAGAGCTGCAAATAACTTTCGAATTGGCTCCACCTGCAAAAAATATGTGTATGTGTGTCATTACTCATTATTATAGTACAAAATCAATTGTGGAAATCATAACACCAGCCATAAAAGACCCAAACTCAAGACTTAGCGGTAATTTATCTCTACACTGAAAGTGATTAAAATACATTTTTTTAATAATGAAAAAAAAAAAAAAACAATGGTAATATGACGAGATCATTTTATTTAACCTACCCAAGTGGATAATAAGCAAAAAGCAACTGCATCTAACTGGTAGAGTTCATTTGACTGAATCATAAAAATAAATAAAAGGAATTAAGAAAAAAAAACTTTAGTTAACTTAATAATTAAAAAGAAAATTGAAAATAGGTATAACAACTTACTTGAGATGACAGTTGCACCATCAGATTCAGGAAGCATGGCATGAATGACCATGTTTTAAAAGAGATGCACCAAACAGATTTGTTGACAATGTCATCAGCCTGAAGTAAAAAGTGAAATGTTTTTTTACTGCAGACACCATTAATAATAATAATAATAATAATAATAATAATAATAATAATAATAATAATAACAATAATAATAATAATAATAATAATAATAATAATAATAATAATAATAATAATAATAATAATAATAATAATAATAAGTCAAAATGGAAGACTTACACATTTCCCATTGAGGTCATCCCCTGCAAAACCCCACAGTTCCAAGATTACTTCCCAACTCACGCATTACATCCATTGACATTTTTTCTTCACTTCTGTTTCGTGTTTTAGCTTGCTACCATCTCTAATGCCCCATAAAACAGATGACAAGAATATGAACTCCAAACCAAGGAAAATGAAAGCAAAGGACATCACCAGAATGATGTTGATCTGCCATATGAGAAGCATAACAAGGATTACTAAGATGGTGGTCATCATCATCACTCCGACCTCAGCAACTCTTGTATTATTTATTTATAGAAAATGAAATTATTTATATATTAAAGAGAACTGTGAGATTTTTTGAAGATAAATATACCATATGCAGTTCCAATCTCATCAGTGCTTGCAATGAAAGTGACAAGAAGAATGGCAACAGCCAAGAGAAACCAGTTCATAACTGGAATATAAATCTGACCCATGAATTTGCGTGGATGATTTGAGGCGAGGAAAACAACCAAGGCCTATTGACTGTTTGCCACCCAAAATTGGCAATAAGGCAACAGTAAGCCAACAGCACAATCTTGTCAAATACCAAAACAAGATTAAAAAAAAATTATAAAATAGGTCATAAGCATTTCTTTGTTTCTGAATATGTAAAATAATTACCTGAAAAATGAGCGTCCCTATAGTGACCTGACCATTAAGAGCATTATTACTATTTTTCTTAACTAAAAGTTTCATAGGCTAGAACAACTATAACAACCTAGAAGTTAAATAGACTAGAAAAACATTTAGGTAACAAACAAACCACTATAGTTGATGACATTGACATGATGCAACCAACAAAAACATCATCAGACAACCCTGCTCCACATAACTGTAACCCATCATTAAATTAAGAAAATAATCATTCACTCAATTGAAACCATGTAAATAAATTGAGATCTGCTAAATAATATCTAGGGGTACACCTTGGAAAGATAAAATTCCTTCACCTTCACCTTTCTCATCCTTTGACTTTCTACTTGAGAACTGATTCTGGTCTTCTAAGTCAATGCTTGACATGGAGCTAGAGGTTCACTAGGAGGAATTGCTGACATGGAATAGCTTCTGGTGAAAAAAAAATAAGGGATGCTGATGTGGCGGAAGGGTTGACTTTTTTTTGATGAGGAACAGATGCTTGAAGAGTTCATTGAGGGGTTAATGAAGGAGATGGAGAGGGAATGGAATTTTTTAAAGGGAGTAACCATTTTAATAAATCTCCACATGGATCTTGACTTGAGGGAATTATGGATTCTGTAGCTGTGTGATTTCTAAAACTGGATCTTTTAAATAGTTTACACCAATGTTTACATGTAAAAGCACCTGCATCCTTCCAAATAAGAAAATGGAATGCAAATCAGTAATGATTATTTGCTTCCTTTGTTTGGATGAATGGAAAGGAATAGAATAGCAAATGAAAGGAATGGAATGGAATGAAACATTCCATTCCTTCTCCGATTCAATCATACCAAACACAAAACAATGAGATAATTATAATAAACAAGGAATGGAATGGAATGCAACTCCACCAGAAGTACTTCCATCAAGACTTCTCTAAACGTTTCATGTGTTTTTCTTTTTGACCAAAAGTGGCTCATCTGACTCAGCAGTTCGAGAAAAAAATTAGGAATTCCTAAATCTCTGCAAAATCATTTCGGTTTGTCTTCTGTGATCTTGCATTCTTAGAAGAGATTCACCAGTGAAAAGATTCTTTTTTGGGTCAGTCTTTTCATCCTAAATATCATTAGCATTTTGAGTTGAAACATGTGCATTAGGACTTGTAACTGTAGAAACACGGGACCCATTGGCCTCACCGTTTTGCTTTTTGGCATTTGGGCCTATGCCATTTTTACTGATTACTTCAGCAACCTTGAAGGGTGTAATGCTAGTATATGAACCTGTTCTCCTGTAAACAAGAAAAAATGTAGTATTTTATATGGATAAGAAAGTCAGAGCAGTTATATTTAGGGGAATGTAATTCTCATTGATTGAAATGACAAATTACATGGAAAAAAAATTCTTTTTATAGATAAAAAGATTGACCTCTATAGCTCTATGTCTAAAACTACATCAAAGAATATATTTAAGAAAGAATGTGATGAGTTTAAAACAAATCTAAAGATCGATTAGAGCTATGAAACAGGTAGATAAATGACTAGATAAACAATTAAGAACAAGCTAATGAATCAAAAGGTGTCGAATGATTCAATAAAAAATCCTCAGAAGAGCTCGATAAAGAACATCAACAGTAGAGGATTTTAGGGTTTACAATATTCAATGAGAGTGACGACTGTTACTATACGCATACATGCATGCATATATTTATAATGAAACCCTAACCGTTTTTCTAAGAAAAAAAAGGCTAATCTAGTTAAACACGGATTAACAAGCCCAATCTGGTTGTAAAACAAAAGGGCCCAAGACGCAACACAATTATCTTCAACAATCTCCCCCTTTGCGTCTTTGGCACAGAATCTTCATTCCCTTTTAACAGCAGAAGGCTTCTTTACCGTCTCAAAAATCCTCGGTATAATAGCCAGAATGTGATGCCTGAAGGTGATATACTAACGAAGCATATCAGTGAAGTTCTTCTTATCTGCTGTTGAGTTCTGCTTGCATCGATGAATGATATTTATAATATGCTCCAGACAATCTGTTGAAAACAGATGCTTGTCTACCAAAGCAAATAGAAACTTATGCTTGTCGCCTCTTGTGAACATGACCGTCAGATTTGAAGAGTCAATTTGCCCTATCTTCATTTTATGAACGTCTCCTGTCTAGGAAGTAGGCTTGATGGTCGGTTTCTTGTTCATTATCTTTGTTATTTCCTGATCCATAGTGGCGAGCTCATGGATGTAGGAAGCCAACATTCTTTTGAGATGTTTCAGAATCGGTTCATACTCTCTATGATTGGAGAGAGAATGTTGTATAGCAGAATCCAATCATGCGGATTCAGACTGGGAAGATCTGCCAGAGAAATGAGATGTTCTGTGTTGGTCGTTCCTCTGTTGATTTTGAAGTTAACGTTCACAAATTTTCCCAGCCTGTGTTGGTTTCAGTACCTTGACTTTAATTATCTTCTGTGCACTCCATGTCAAGTACTGCGGTTGACCATACTTCAAATAGAAATCTATTAATTCTCTGTCAACCTTCAAGTTTGGATGAGGGACATCGGCAGTGACATCAAAGCAATGAAATGTAAAAGCTTTTCGCGTGATTGGCATGTCAAACTGCGAGTCTTTGGTATTTTCACACTCGAAAGATGCAATCGGTTCCAACCAATATATGGAGGGAAACTCAATCGCTTGATTGATGAGTGTGTCTCTGTCCCATTCTGGGAACAGAGTCTTCTTGGCTTGTAGAGCATCCTCATCCTCCTTGATTTTTTCTTTCTCTAGCCTCGGCCTCTCGAGCTATTTTAAGAGTTTCATCCATCTCTTTGTCCCTTTTCTTTCGTTGAAGAGCTTCAGCAAATAGTTTCATCTGTATCTGACTCGCTCTCAACAAGGAACTGTTTTCCAGAACCCGAAGCTACATTAACCTTCGGTTCTATCTTTGATAAACCTTCCTCTCCCCCTTGTCGCGGAAGAACAAGCTTCTCTGAGACACCCTTCATTTCGCTCAAGATGTTAATCGCAAGAAGGAGTTTAGCCTGGAGATGCTATCTGATAGTAAGGGTAAGGAAGGGATCATGAGTGTCAAGAACATTTGTCAACATATTCTTGACATCACCAGCGCAACCTTGAAGAACTGCCCGCTGAGTTTTCAACAAAGAGATTTCTTGTTGTGCCTGGGCCAGTTGTATCTTCTGAAGGTCGATAGTTGCCTGATGCTTGACAAGATCTTCCTTTAAGGTGCTCTCTGCTGCTAGAGAAGCAAAATGTGAATCCAAAGATTGGAGAAAAGAGGTGGATTCAGTTTTAAGGTCAGTACGTAGAGCCTCAAACTTGGAGGTTTCACCCTGAAGGGTAGCCGAAAAGGAGTCGACTGACGTCTGAAACTTGGCAGCACTGGAATCAACATGTGCTTTGAGAGAATCAAGAAAGATCTGAGTTGTGTGAACAACCTCAGAAACTTCCTTTGTGGCTTTGGAGCATGAAGCAGCTGAGTTGTCGATGGCATCAGTGGAACGATCCAGAGCGTCAGTATACGTCTTGATCGCAGACTCGATGAAGGCTTTCAGCACGACACCCCCGTAGGCTTTATTATCAGCCAACAGACTATCGAGTTTGTCGTGAATTTCTTGAAGCTGCTGAGTGGTAACAGGGGTATCGGCATCAGTGTCCAAGGTAGCACCGAAGTGTGGGAATCCGATATGGGCTATAATAAAGAGAATCGTACTCTTCATCATCACCGCCCAAGGTAGCACCGGAGTTGGAGGATGGAGAAGGAGATGGTGGGATGTTGATGACGGGGGTTTCAACCACAGTAGTAGCCCCTGTATCAGATACATTGACTGTTACTGGTGGTTGGGAAGAGGTGATAGTAACTGATTCGGTGATAATTGGTGTGGGGATAGAAGATGTAGGTTGAGTAACAGAGAAGGGAATGGTTGGTTCTGTTGTAGTTGGAGGGATGGTTATGGGAACAGAAAGTGGGACCTTCTGTGTTGGTGATTGGGGTGGGGTAGGAATTTTAGGAGAAGTTGGAGGAGTGGGTGATTTGGTAATTTTGGGAGATGCTGGTGGAGAGGGTGATTTGGTAATTTTGGGAGATGCTGGTGGAGAGGGTGAGAGGAGATGCTGGTGGAGAGGGAAGATGAGTGCCTGCAGGAGAAGATGGTTGTTGAGGAGACTGAGCAATTGTTGTCTCTGTTGGAGGAGCAGCAGCCTCTGTGTCGGATGGGTCATTAGGAGCAGAGCCAAGAGAAGGAGATCCTTTGGATCTTTTAGCCATCTTCTTTACCTTCTTTGATTTGGACTGAGAAGGTTCCTCTGCATCGGATTTTCGTTTGGAGGATCTTCGCTTTCTCTCCTTTTTCGGTTCAGTTTCTTTCTTCTCTGGTTTCTCCTTTTTGCCGGCCCTCTTGCCACGGTTGGCAGGTTGATCAAGGGCTTCTAGTGCAGCTTTCTGTTCTTCGGACAGAACCCTTGGAGGCAAGGGTGTTCTGGTGCTATAGTCAGCCATGATTTTGCTGTGAGGCGTGACACACCTGTACATGGATTCAGGATTAATCCATAATGGAGAAACTTACTTGGATCAGAAACGATGATCTTCTTAGTGTGGTAAGAGGCAATTGAAGCCCTAAGAGCATCCTTCATCACAGGGATTTCAAGCGAATCCATGGCCTTCTTTGTGATAAGCGTCCAGAAACGGCCGCATGAGATCTCAGAGTACCGTGTAGAGGTGTTGAGACTCTGAACGACTTGAGACTAGATTATGGAGCCATAATCTAGGTTGATGCCGTTGTAAAGACCATTAAGTATGGTGAGAAATC